ATTTTTATTATGCCGTGATGCGGGACGAGGCTGCAGTTTCACACAAACTGAACGAATTCGTGCAGTAAAATCCGTAATGTCAGTTGTGGTGCTTACTGTGGAAAAATTCGCCTGGGAGTCTTAAAGGCTCGCCGTAGACGAGTTATGCTGAGAAACACTGCAGATCAGCTTTAAATGCGCTTCTGATGCCCAATAGTACTAGAGGTAAAGATTCCGTCCAGTTGCTATCAGCGTGACATGTAATAGCTGTCTTCAGCTGTCGGTGGAATCTTTTCACTAGGCCATTAGAAGCGGGATGGTAAGCTGTGGTCCTGCGGTGTTTGAATCCGATTATTTTCGATAGATAATTAAATAAATTGGATTCGAACTGCCGTCCACGGTCCGTCACTATGTCAGTTGGACAACCAAATCTGGCGATCCAACCTGATAGGAGTGCCTTCGCTACAGTTTCGGCTGTAATGTCCGCTATGGGGATAACTTCTGCCCATCTCGTGAAACGGTCAACTGCTGTTAAGCATTAGCGGAAATCATTCGAGTATGGGAGTGGACCAATAAGATCGATATGCACATAGGAAAACCTGGCTCGTGGTAAATCGTATGTGCCTAAAGGTGCTAACACATGGCGGTTTACCTTAGAGCGTTGGCAGGCTAAGCATGTACGAGACCATTCTCGGCAGTCTTTTCTGACTCCTGGCCAAACGAATCGCTGTGCTACCAGCTTAGCAGAAGCGTTTGGACCAGGGTGACTTAAAGAATTTAGACTGTCAAAAATAGCTTTTCGAAAATTTTTGGGAACGAAAGGTCTTGTTATGCCTAAACTTATGTCGCAAAAAATTTTGACTTTGCTATCGGGCTCTTTAATTAATAATGCGAAGTATTCATCGCCTAGAAGTTGTGATAGCTCAGAATCTGTGGACTGAGCTTTAGCGAGCTTTTTTAAAATCCACCGGCTGCTGTATTTCATCTACGCGCGACAGAGTATCAGCAACGATATTATCCTTGCCGGATATGTGCTGAATGTCGCTTGTAAATTGAGACACAAAATCTAGATGTCTATACTGACGCGGCGAACAGTTACTTTTTATTACATGGAATGCATAACATAAAGGCCTATGGTCAGTATAGACTGTGAAGTGGTGTGCCTCGAGCATGTGGCGAAAATACTTAATGCCTTCATATATAGCGAGCAACTCACGGTCGTAGGGTGAGTACTTCTGTTGTGATGGGCTAAGCTTTCGCGAAAAGAATTCTAATGGCTGCCGGAATTATTTTTGTACTGCTGCAGTACAGCACCCAATGCCAAGTCTGATGCATCCGTTACCAGAGCTAACTTGGCTTGGCAATCGGGGTGTGCTAATAAGGCAGCATTGCAAAGACTATCCTTGGACTGCTCAAAAGCTGTTAGAGCGTCGCCTGTCAGGTCTATAGCTTGTGAAGCCTTCACCGAACCAGTTAATAAGGCGTTTAAGGGTGCTTGAATTTTTGCGGCTTCTGGTAAGAACCGCCTATAGAAATTAAGCATGCCCAAATAACGTCTGAGCGCTTTGACTGTTCGCGGCTTAGGGAATTTTTTAATGGCTTGAACTTTTGACTCAAGTGGCTTAGTGCCTGCAGCTGAGATGTGGTACCCCAGAAACTGTACCTGTGATGAACCAAATACACACTTAGAGGTGTTCACCAGTACTCCGTACTACTTCATTCGGCCAAAGAGAATATTGAGGTGATGTTCGTGCTCAGTAGCACTTCCAGAAAATACTAAGAAGTCATCTAAGTAACAGTAACAGAAATCCAGTCCTCTAGTAATTTTATCTACAAACCTTTGGAACGTTTGTGCTGAGTTCCGGAGCCCCAAGATCATGCATGGGAACTCGTACAAACCAAACGGTGTGGTGATTGCCGTTTTATGGATGTCATCCTCAAAGATAGGGATCTGGTTGTACGCTTTGACAAGCTCGATAGTCGAGAATACGGTGCATCCTGATATGTTGTGCGAAAAATCATGAATGTGTCTGATTGGGTACTTATCCGGTATGGTGCGTGCGTTGAGTAGCCTGTAGTCTCCGCAGGGGCGCCACCCATTGTCTTTTTTTGGGAGCCAAATGTAAAGGAGATGCCCAGGAGCTCTCAGAAGGACGCGCCGTTCCGTTGCTCAGCATCAGCTCAAATTCTTTCTTAGCTATTGCAAGCCTGTCAGGAGCTAACCTGCGAGGAGTGCAGGATATGGGAGGTCCAGGCGTAGTGCGAATGTAGTGTACGGTTTTATGTGTAGAGGTGTGTGGTGTGCCCGCTGGTCGTGTTATTTCCGGATATTTAGCTAAAATAGTGTAGTATCGTGTGACGCCAATAGGAACCTTAACAGAATTAATATTATTTAAATTTTTAGCAATAAAAGCAATTGCCGACAAGGATGTTAAATAATCAATTAATCGTTTTGTTTTTAACGTCTACAGTTAGGTTATAGTGACTAAGAAAATGTACTCCTATTATGGCTTTATTTACGTCGGCAACAATAAAATTCCATGGAAAATTACGTCGTAAATTTAAATTTAAATTAAGTTGCAAATACCCGTATGTATCAATTGCACTACCATTAGCTGCTGATAATTGATAAGATGTCTTACTCCGTCATTCGCGAAGTGCAGTACGCGGAAACACACACACGTCACTTCCAGTGTCCTCAAAATTGGTTCTTGGAGTTTAGGTCAGTAACGAAGAGGCGACCCGAAGAAGTTAAGCAGTCGTCGGTCGCCATCACCGACTGCTTCGAGCATTTTCCGACTTTCCGAAATCGTAGGGTTTGATGCACCGGCTGGCCTTATCTCCATATTTCCAGTGATACCAACAGGTTGGGTATCTTCTGTAGCTGGAGTCAGATCGGGAAGTTGAACGTCTGCGATTACGGCTACTAGAACGGTCACGTGGTCTGGAACGTCTAATAATAATAATAATAATAATAAATCATTTATTGTGGACCAAAACTTTTATACATTGTTCACACCCACCAAACTGCGTAACAGTTTGTCGGCGGGATTAGTCGCTCAATTGCATGGTAAGGTTCTTAACAGCTGCTTTCAACTCCGCAATTTCATTCACCATAGACTGCGTACTGGTACCAGGTGTCGAGGTTGGTTGTTGCGACTTGAAGTGTTGGAGATACTATATCATATACTCTGTCTGCTAGATCGGCTAAAACCTCCAATGAGCTAGTTGGTTGCGACACAATCAGCGTTTGGATGTTGTTGGGAAGTCGGCTGCTCCATATCCTCTGTATAAAGTCCTCGGTTACCGAGGGACCTCCCAAGCTCTGCAGGTGACGTAAGAATTGTGAAGGTTTCCGATTTCCCAATTCCTCGTGCATGAGTAACTGCTGAATCTTCCTTTCACGCGATGCTGACAAGCGTTTAATCAGTTCGTCTTTAAGTTTCTCGTATTTGTTACTAGAAGGCGGAGAAACAATAATATCTTTTACTTCTTTAGAATATTGAGGATCTAAATTACTCGTCACATAATAAAATTTTGTGGTATCCGATAATATGTTTGAAATTGTGAATTGACCCTCTATTTGCGCAAACCATAATTCAGGATCGTCCGGCCAAAATGGCGGTATACGTACTGTTACATCCCTATTTACACTGTCACATCACTATTTGTTAAAGTAAAATGCTGACTTGCAATTATTGCTGGTTTATTCAAATACAAAATTAAAAATCAGCAATAATTTTGCTATAAATACGCAAGACTTTCCTAAATTCGTTCAGTTGGTTATTTTTCAGCTAAACTGCTCCCCAGCTACGGACCTGGTTCTTGCCTGCCGGCTGGCTATCAGTGAAAGCTAAGAATACACTCCGGGTCTACTCTGCCCTTCGCCAGGGCTATCGCGCTGTTATAATCCAAGTCGCGTATAAGTTTTATGTAATAGTAGAAATTCTGTGTCCGAACTTTTGTATGAGTAAAACTTTCAATTAATAAATAGTTTTCGAAATTTCAGTACTGTTTTTTTTATAAGTGCTGAATAGGACAATCTAACAGCACGCTAATTCGATTAACGTCCGATGTAACGTCGACGTGCGATCTGTGCTTGCGCCTTGTACATGGGCGCGTGGTAACATTTTGTTCTGATGCCGTTTCTGGCGATTCACTACCACTACTCATTGTACCTGTAGCGTCTTCTGCAGGGGTCACCAGTTGTAGGTCAAAATGGCGTAAGGCGTCGTAGGTTCAGTGAAGAAAACAGTTTATATTTACGTTCACTGTCTTTTAATAGTTCACGACACAAAGCACAATACACTACAATAAAGAGTCTGAAAGGAAGCGAGCACAATAATAATTACAAAGAATAGCACAAGCAAGAAAGTAAGAGATAGCATTAACAAATAAACTGTACGTGATTAGCCGCGAGCGCAAAGGTGTTACAGGGGTCTAGTCGCAGAGGCGATCAGCAGGTAACCAGGGGTAGGACAGTTCCATATATTAACAGATTTGACGTCATTTTTTTCGAAATGCGACATCTGTTATCGCCATCCAAAATAATGAGTTACTTTATGTCACCGCAGATGGCGTTATGATCGACGCAAATATAATTTATGACTGAAAAATAATGTAAAAATATTAATTCCGTTACGTATCATTTTAGTATAATTATATGTAAATATTTGTGTAGATTACAAGCTTCGTAATAATTACGATAGCAACACTGTGAACGATTTCTTAATGATTGTCAAATGTCAAATAGTCACGTCATCACAAATATGGCGACTGCTCCTTGCGTTTGCGTGTGTTTGTAGTTTTCGTCCCATCTTTGTGTTTTTCTTCGTGAAATTAATCCGCCGATCCACGTTGAGTTGAGTCCTATCCTCCGTAGTGAAGTGTAAGAATTTTCCGAAGTTATAGTGTGAGTTGAGTTGTTCCTCCGTCATTCTAGTGCAATCGTTTTTTTGCGACCCGGACGCTTCGTTTGTGCTGTTTCTTTGCGATATAGACGCTTGTGATTTGTTTTTATCATGCCTAAACGGTGTGCATTGGGATGTTCAAACAGTAAGTATAATCATCATTATATCTCTGCCATCTTGCCTCCATAGAATTCCACAGTGCCTTGTCAACTTCAACTTACAACTTACATAAAATTACAGCCTATATACGTCCCACTGCTGGGCACAGGTACCCCCGCTTCTTAGATGGTTTTAGGGCAAGGAAGTGTTCGCCGTGTTACCCCGTTGAAGGTTAGCGAATTTCTCGTTTCTCCGAAATATTTTTTCTTATTTCTCAGATATGCAGCTTTCCTCAGGATGTTTTACTTCACCGCCGAGCATGTGGTAAATCAACACTTAAAATTGCAACTATGAATTTCATTGGTGCCAGCAGGGACCCAACCTGATTTGCTTGCATAATGTGAAGTTTACAGCGAGCGCTAACCATCTGAACCACCGTGGCTTACATTCTTGTCCTAAATGATAGATAAATAGAATAAGATTTACATTATAGATGGACCACTGCAGTTATCTGTGTTTATATTTGTAGGTACTTATTAAAATTATACCTTTCCCTCTCCCGGTTGATGGCCATAAGCCATTAGAAATGTTTGACAGAAATAAGTATGAATATAGCCTTAACTTACAAACCAGTCTTAAATGCTCTCACATTTAGTTTAATACATGATATATCTAATCTACAAAAGTATTCTATTGCAACTAACATATTAGTAAAAATTATAACACTGCATTACATGCACTACTTTAATTAATGCATTTCAAGGTAATTATACAAGCAAAGTGTAAAATATTTTTCATTAATAGCTACATCAAAGAATAATGTGATAGCAACATTACAAAATAGTTATAGCAATATTAAATTTTTGTAAAATGGCATAAATAACAAAATCAATGAGGATTGGAGTAGCCATGGAATTACAATTCTGTAATAAAGAACTTGTATACTCATGTATTACAAACCAATTTTTGCATTCAGGAGATTTCTTAACTAAGTACACTTACATAATCTTTATTTTTAATCTGTGAGATTAGTTGAAATATTAATAGGGCAACATAAAAGGTGATACTGAAAGTTCTTAGAAAATCAAAAACTGAATAAACTAGCAAGTTATTAGTTTTATTATATCTTTCCAAAATGGTGTCTATTATTATATCTTTCCAAAATGGTGTCTATTTACATCAATACATTGCTGCATCCAATGGAATCACCGAGAAAAGCACTTTGCTTACTTGCCCTTAGCGGTCTCTTCGACGACATTTTGAAATGCAGCCATTGCTTCCTCGGTGTCCATTAAACATTTTCTTCAAAGTTTTTTCTTTTGTTTTCGGAAATAAATAAACATCGCAAAGTGCGAGGTCGGTGCTATAGGGAGGGTGACCCATTAATTCCACGTCTGATGTTGCCAAGTAGTCGATTGTTTGTTTGGCGGTGTGAGACGAGGCGTTTTCGTTGTGAAGTAAGATCCTAATGTGAGGTTATTTCTCCCGAACATTTTCCAAGACAAGTAGCAAACAATTGTTAGTGAACCACTCTGCAGTAACTCTTTTACAATTCTCTGAAACAATTGTTGCATAATGACCTGTCCTTCCGAAGAACGAGGTCACCATCTTATTTCCCACGCTTCAACCTCTCTTCACTTTAATTGGCATTTCCTTGGAAGGAAAAACCAAGACAGCAGACTGTCTCTTAGTTTCAGGATCATAACAATAAATCCAGCTTTCGTCACCTGTAAGTATGTCAAACACAGCATTTGTGTAACCTCAGTTAAATCTTTAAACCATTTTACGACAATAATCAACATGATGGAGTTTTTGGGCCTCTATCTATAAATCATAAACAAATGACAAATTAATAAAATACTTACACAATAATATTGGCAAATAGTTCAATTTTCAAAATTTGAACTTACTTTTTTATTATATAGTGTTTACAAGTGGCCAGTTCCAAAAACTTTCAGTGTCACCTTCATACAAACAAGATTAAAATTAAATGATCATTTATGTAAAAAATTAAAGGCAATTTGAACCAATAACTTTAAAACCTAAAGAGTAGGTGTTATCATTGCCTTTCTAAGTGTAGCATTTTACTTCGATATAAACTATAGATTAGTTGTAAGTCCTAAGCCATAGCACAGTTTTAGGTATATTAAAGATAAGTACTGGCACATTTAAATCCACATGCTTGAGCAAGAGTATTTTTAAAAACTAAATGCCTTAATCAAACTTTATTTTGCACGTTTAGAAAAGCTATTTACAAATATTATATGGTGGTATAACCCTTTTTGTAAGAGTCTGACTTGCACTTGTCTGTTTTTTTTTTAAATATTAGTAGGATCATTGGCTCTATTAGCAAAAATTGTTATGCATCATTCAGGAAAATTATTTTAGATCTTTAAACTTTTCAAGAAAAATATTAAAAGTGATCTTTCTTTTTTTTTCAGAGACTTCCTATCATCAATTTCCACATCCAGAAAAGAATCCTGACCGTTTCAAGGCTTGGGTTCATATAGCTGGTGGGAAGTTAGATAGTCCTGCTGATTATGAACTGTATAGAAAGAAGGTCATCTGTGATATCCATTTTACAGACAGGGATAGAAACCGTAATAACCGGTTGAATTTTCTAGCTGTGCCATCACTTCATCTTCCTGGTAAGATTTACATATAATACAAATAAGAGCATTTTAACTTATTACATATTAATTATTATACAATAGTGGTACTGGGCTTGAGTTGAAGTTAGCATTTTGCTAATATTGCATATTTAACTGAAATACTTCCCTAATTAGGCAAGAAAAATGGCTTAAATGATGGGAAATCGTTTTGCCCATGTTTTTAACAAGTGCAAATACAGTACCATGCGTTGTCCCATATTAAACCCTATATTAATTAGTATGTAGGCTCTATTGCTAGTATTGTTTTATTTTTATGCTTATTAGTAATTTTTCAACTTGTATTATATTTATTTTATAATGATAAGAAAACATATTTATGGTGGTTATTCTGTGTGGTGCAAAAATTAGATGTTTATATGTTTTTATCCCACTTCTAATTAAAAATTCTTTAACATTATAAGTTTTTATCAATTTTTTAAATAAATAACATTTTTCTCTTATTTTTTAGGCAAGTCTGATGAAGTTGTTACTTCAGAGAAAATTTTACTTGTACCTGAACCTGTGAATGTAGAAAGCAGCCTTGCTGCATTAAAACCGACACTAACAGGTACTTACATATTGATTCCAATTATCATAGGTAGCAATTAAAGAAAAGCAAAGTAAAAACAAAGGATTAGTAGTCTAGATGCTATCAGCGTCTTCAAAAGGTCATTATCGTCAACCAATTATATAATTACTTGTTATGACAAATTAAATGCAACTGTATCATAATTAATTTTGGGCCTAACCTATTAAAATATACTCTAAATGTTATAGTTATTGGGCTCAATACAGTTATTGGTCATTTAGATTCTAGTCTAAATTACAAGTTCAATGATAAGTAAAACGACAACATTGAAAAGCTTGGTGTTAGAGCTTTGTGCGCGCTACACGACTGTAAAATGCCGAGCAGACCTGCATGGTGATTTATAACCCCATCTCCCTATGTATCTGTGCTCAGCATTAGACTTAAAACATATCTCTTATTTTTCAGGCAAGTCTAACGATGATGATACTTCAGAGAAAGTTTTACTAATACCTGAACCTGTGAATAAAGAAAACAGCCTTGCTACATTAAAATCAACACATCATATGTACTGTCTGTGATCAAAGTACAGTCAATGTAAGTGTAATAAATGACTTGGTAGAAGATACAAGAAAAAAATATTTAAGAGAAGAAAAGGAATTTAGGTATGAAATCACTGAAATAGGAAAAACAAAAGTAATCCCTCTATTTGATGTTCCACATTTACTAAAAGGAGTCCGAAACAATTTACTCACGAAAGATTTAAAATACTATGATTTTGAAGAAAAGTGCGAAAAAATCATCAAATGGGATTACTATAAGCAAACTTATGAAGCTGATAAGTCGTATGGAGAGGTGAGGTGCCTACTAAAAGTCACAGATGAGCACATCTATGTCGATAAAATTAGAAAAATGAAAGTGAAAACAGCAGCCCAAATTTTCAGTCACACGGTAGCTGCGACTGCAGGACATCTGGTGGCAAGAGGAGACATTCCGGTAGAATGCCAAAATGTGGTAAAATTTACAAAATTAATAGACAATCTTTTTGATTCTTTAAATTCTAACACATTTCATGTGCCTGATGGCAAAATATATAAAGGATGTGTTAGACGATCTAGTCCACACCATGATTTGTGGAAGAATGCCATAAAAGTTTTGAAAACTGTAACATTTATTAAAAAAATTAAGGACAAAAATAACAAAATCCGTTTGATTGAAACAAAAGCTATACCATCTATAAAAAACTTCATACGTACAATTAAAGGAATGCAACAATTATGGATATTGCTGTCCCAAACATATTCATTTGATGCTATGCTAACACGTAATTTCAACCAGGACCCACTAGAGAATTTCTTTGGGAATATCAGAAGTTATGGGGCGAGAAATACTGCACCAGACACGGTTGCGTTTGAAGGGGCCTTTAAGTCCCTTTTAATTAATAATTTTAACTCGCCCCATTCTCTGCATGCAAACTGCGAAAAAAGACGACGATAGCTGCTTGCAGAATCTAGATTTTTTTGTAAGAGAAAATATCGCGTCAACTTCTGATATTCCTAGTCCCATTTATGAGGAAACACTACAATTTTCTGAAAGCATAGAAGACGAAATTGTAGTGCCTTTCATCAATTTAAATACCAGTATAAATGATGCTGGTCAGGGCAATTATGTGTGTGGGTGGGTCCTTGGGAAATGCATAAAAAATGTTTCAAAAAGCTGCAAAGTATGTAAAAAAGATAAGTATGGCAGACCTGAAAGCAAATCCAATGATTATATACGGGCAAAAGAATATAAAAAAGGTAAACATTCTTTAATATACCCATCTGAAGGAATGGAAAAATGTTTTGTCCAAATTCAAAATTTAGTGACAGACATACTAAAAAAAGATGTTCCAAAAATGGGTTTAAAAAGTAAAATAAAAATGTTTACCGACATATTTGTTGACTTTCCATTTAGTTGTGAAAAACATCAAAAAATATTACGAAATTATTTTGAAAACACAATTATTCATGTGCTTATATATAGTTGGTGCCGTCCAATAAACCGGATTTTGTCTGGTAAAATCAAATACCATGGTGAGGATGAAACTAAAGCAGCAGCCCAAGCTTATAATAATAAACACAAGGTAAATAAATAAATAATATTGTAAAATAAAAGTTGTTTTTTTGTTTATCCAATAACCTTTTGAAATTGATGCGTCCTTACTAATTGGCTTGTTTTTAATTTGATAAAGTTTTACTAAGATTTTGTTAAATAAAGTCAAGTAAAACTTTATCAACTTGAATACAAGTAAATAAGTAAGGATGAAGGAAAAGCTACTATTGCCTATATAGTACCTATAGCCAGCTATAGCTATAGATGTTAAGTTTATGGATGGCGATAATAGATGGCGCTATTTATCACATCAATTGACATTTGCGGTTTTCAATAAATTCCACGAGTGGGTTCTCTATGTACGATATATTACTTTCCTCTATGCAGGTAACTAACTTGATACAACAGAATATGCGCGAGCGCCGCGGTTCAATCCCCGGCCGCTCTTGCGTTGTGTTAGAATGATCCACAATGGTATGTGTTAAATGCTTGTTCTCTAATGGTTACAGAATATATAATTAATTACGTTTACTGTAGGTGTTTTATGTGTTTATGTGTGTTACTGTGTTTCTGTGTGTATATATGAGGTGTGTGTAATAATGTGGTCGAATCCCCACACATCCATTCATCTCTAAATAAAATAAATACGTATGGGAAGGTGAAGCATGACGGGGTGGTTAAGGTTTGATGATGAATAAAACACAGGTTTTTGTAATAAATCAATCAAATTTATTTTTTAACGATTCTTTGGTAATCAGTTTTTCAGTTTATCAAAGAATTAAACACTTATTTAAAGGTTAAACATATATAAAAATAAATCAACAAATATAAAAAAAGTAAAAAAGTAAAAAGGTTACTCGCAGCACGCTGGTGGCAGCGGTGGCGGCGGTGGCAGCACGTCTAACGCATATGCTCGATTCTGATTGATAAGTTCATATCACGACATACAACCATTACTTTATCTTTCCCCTCGCACCGTCTTGCCCTAACTTCCCTATTCATAATATATATATATATATATATATATATATATATATATATATATATATATATATATATTATTTGACACATATATAACTGATTCTTTAAAAGATATTCACGCACCAACTTTTAAAGGAATATCTTTTGGTGCTTTCTGCGTCTTATTAGTAAAATCAATCATTCGTATGACATAAAGTTCATAGCTTCGGAATCTAAACATAAAGCTGCGTTGGTTTAAGAATTATCCTTAATAATTTTGGAAAATTAATAAATGCGCATTGCTTAAAATAAATTGGTTATCTTATTTTTACCATGTGTTTTTACCTCACTTTCGTGTATGTCCGTTTGAATCATATTTATTTATTTAGTACTTACATGATTATAAACTAACTTCCCGATTTCGAGCTATGTTCAAAATTTAAAGTTTCTAGCTTAACATAGCTTAAAATCGGATGACAATAATAATAATAATATAAAATCTGTGACCGGACCAGAATAAAAGGGGGGTGCCCATGTCTCTCGACTGCCCGTCCCACCCCTACCTCCCCTACTTAGTTTTTTGTTACCTTTTAAAATAAAATTAAAAGATTATATGTTATTGATATATATATATATATATATATTTTATTCATATACATACATACATAAGCACTCACGCCTGTCACCCAGAGGAGTAGGCGAAGACTACAGACGTCCATTTGGCACGATCCTGATACACCTCTCTCGCCTCTTCCATAGATATATATCATCTTCGATTTTTTTTTTGTATTTTGGTCTTGATCTATGGCGGTAGTAGCGCGTTTGTTGTAAATAATATTGTATTAAAAGAAAGTGTGATTTATCTGAAAGTACAAGTTAAAAAAAATGTAGGACTACATCGGTCACGGAAGTAAAAATACATCAAATTAAACCGCAAATTATTCTGCAAAATTCATTGTATTTGAAGACTTTAAACTGAAAGTAAATTTTAGAAAGTAAATCGACTTTCATTAATATCTATTAAAATATAAGGACCTAAACAATAAATCTTGAAAAGGACCTTCCGAATGGATGGAAATTAATTGTAGTTTAATTTATCATTTGTATCAGACAAACGTGATTGCGATGTGACACTTAGAACCTCAGACCAATTTATACCACTATTAAAAATTTCATTCGCAATTTTCTTTAAATAAAATTAGGTCAACTGATCCAAAAATAAATAAATTATAAATGTAAATCTATATTTTTAGTATAATTACTTCAAAATAGGATCCTAATTAATTATTAACATCTTTAATGAAATTATTTTTCGCAAAGTATCACCTCATTCTATTAACTTTTTTTTAATCTTTATTAATATAAAATACACACATTTGAAATAATAATAAACATCGCCAAACTGTGCAACAGTTTGTTGGCGATAATGGCGCTCTTTTGTTATACATTAATATGTAATTTTGTTACATACATACTTATCTTAGGTATATTTATTACAATAAATATCTCTATCTTTAATTAATACTTATTATAGCTAGTACATTATACTTTTCATAGGAACGTAGTTTTCAGTCTTTTCTTTAATGTTACAGTGCTTATGTCTTTGGACGTATCTCTTATAAAATCTATTCTATTAAATATTAGCGGAGTTAAATATTGCCTAGTTCTTTTACCATAATAGTTTCTTATATGTGGTATCACATATTTACCCTTCTCAACTTGCCTGGTACGATATTTATGCGTTATAGGTTGTACTACCTTTTCATGCACTGGAAGTATTTTACATATATTAAATAATTTGTCATAATTATTTTTACACTGTAATTTTACTTTTTTACTTACTAAATACTTAAGTAGTCTAATCTGTAAATGTTTTATACGATCTAACTGTGTTTTGAATGTTAGCCCATAACTGCTCAATCCATAACTGATTACCGAGTCAGCCAGTGCATAATACAGTACGTACAAGACTTTTCGATTCATGAAATTGCTTAAGTGAAAGAATCTACCCAGTATTGATTGCAATTTATTACACACACCATTGACGTACAGTTTCCAGTTCATATTACTATCTACTGTTAGGCCTAAGTATCGGTATTTATCTACTACATCTATGTTTGTGCACTGGCAGCCAGCTTTATTGAGGAGTAGACACTCGTATGTATGACCAATTATATTTATGTTTAATTAACCTTGCTTAAAGACGTTACTGTGGGGTGAACTTTTATACATAGCCTTTGTTTAGGATAAATTTATAATTATACCGTTGTCATGTGCCCATTTAATTATGTTTTCTAAGTCCTCCTGTATTTATTTTTGTGCATCACTCATGTTATTGGTTGAGTACATTAGGCACATGTCGTCTGCATACATAACCGTTTTACAATGCTTTATCACATTAATGACACTATTAACATGCATAATGTACCCAACTGGACCGAAAACCGATCCGGTTGGTACTCAAGACTCACGCTTACATCATCCCCTGTTACTCCGTCTATCAATGTACATAAGGATCTATTTTGCA